GGGGGGGGTGGGGGAGGGGGAGGGGGGGGCGTGTGCATATTTGGTCATTTTAACTACTGAAAGATGTGAGTTCTAGTAAGATTAATAGGTTGGTCTTGTAGTATTTGGTTCCTGTGGGAGCATAATAATGTGTAATCTGTGGTATAAATGCAGAAAAACAATTGAATTTAAAAGGACTCTTCATATATGCATTTGCCTTATAAACCCAGGCAGTTGATGAAATTTTTGTGCTCTTCAAATTCAGTTTCCCGTAAATGTGCTTTTCTTCCTGTTGCTGCCAGAACATCAGCAGGCGCACTGCAGAGCTACAAAGTGGGGCTGAGAATTTTGCATCAATGGCTGATGAGCTTGTCAAGACAATGCAAAACCGGAAATGGTGGCATATATGACATGAAGTTGGCGTTAGTTTCAAGTGCTTGGATTGGCTGATATGGTCCACTCGACCTTGATAATGCAAGTAAGCCTTCTAGGTTGTTATTTAACATTTAATTATAGATTCTACTGTCATTCTGATGCAGAAAATCCATACACCATTCATTTGTCAGGGTATTTAGATTTGTACTTATTGTCTAACCCCAGTTAGTGTAAAATCTTAATAGTAAATCTTAGTTGAAAGAATTAGCAAAATCCAATTGTTTAAGCATATTGGTATCAAAACATCAATACATAGTTCATATACTATGTCCTTTTTTTTTGGTGGTTTTACATTTGTTTCTACTTGCTTGCCCTCTGTTTCATTGACTGGTAATAACTTTGTGGGATTGACCAAGCGATGTATGCTGATATGGTTGAAGGAGAGGCCGAGCTGCTTCAAAGTCAAGGACAAGTTTTTCAGTAATACTACTTGGACCTAATTTGCTGAACTAGTCCATACTTGCCATTGAATTGATAGTCCATTCCATTCAACATAGGGATCCATTATTCACCCGACGGTATCAGTAAATAATTAAGTCACCAAATTACGTCTTAGTATCATTATTTTGAGCAGTATGTACTAGCTTGAAGGGGTACAAATCAGGTTCTATTTGTTTTATTCATCTCCTCAACCATGTGATACACAAGGCTAATGGTGTGTGAGCCAAAGTGGTTTTCGCCNTACGTCTTAGTATCATTATTTTGAGCAGTATGTACTAGCTTGAAGGGGTACAAATCAGGTTCTATTTGTTTTATTCATCTCCTCAACCATGTGATACACAAGGCTAATGGTGTGTGAGCCACTTGTGTAGGCGGCTAGATCTGTCCTGTTGTCTGTTTTGACCTGATCAACGCTGACGGGTTCAAATGAGATAGCAATGGTTCAACCTTCTCCACTAAAGTAAACTTTTTCCTCCTCAATTTGAGAGGCAAGTATCTAACCTTCAATTTCAGTTCTATTTGATCCTTACGATTGCAATTACTTAAGCAAAGATCATCTCGACCAGTTGACGGTGTTAAGTTCAAGTATTCTCCCCTTTTTTCACGGTCAGAAAATTTACGTAAAAATTGCAAACTAGTTTGCTCGTCTATAATTTTTTTTTTCTGGAAAATAGAATAGATGTCCTTGAATTTTGACACGAGTTTCAATTTGCCCTGTTAACTTTTAATTTTCTGAATTTAATTTTTAAACTATGTGAATCGTAGCAATCAGCTCCTTTCGTTCATTCCTGCCATTGTAACACACGGAAAAACCTTGAAAAATAAAATTTAATGGGACAAATTGAGACAAGTGTTTGTTTGTTTTTGTTTATGGAAGAATGAATTTATTGTTACGATTTATTATATAGTTTTGAGGATGAAATTGAGACAAATAAATAAAAAAGAGGGAATTTTAACACTAGGAGCATAGTTTGGAGATCTATAATGGTTATCTTTTTCTTTTCTTTCCGGATTAAAAAAAAAAAACTCTAGTTTTGAAGATTTTGCGTGATTAAATATAACAGGAATGTTATGCTGACTACATTTGTGCACCAAAATTTTGTACTAAATGATGTGGCAATATCACATTTATTGAATGTGTTGTGGATGTTAGTGGGATCTATCAATCTGACAGCCCATGGTGCATAAATTTGGTCACCAACATTATTGTATTTATAGATATGTTCAAACTCTTAGGGTGGTTCAGTAGTTGAGTTTTGTTTTTTGGTAACCTAGAGATCTTAGGTTTAATTTTTTTTTCCACATCTGTTATGGGTTATTAACTCTTATCCCTTTGTGAACATGTTTTAAACCAATTCAAGTCTCGGTTGTCAGCCATTGAGTTTAAGAGAGTATTCAGCATAAATCTGGACACGCTCTAGCGAAAAGAAAAAAAATAGATACGTTCATATTGAGAGTCTGAAGTAGCAGTCATACAATTTAATGAGATGAGTAATGTTATTTAAACTTAAAATGTTTAAATAATGATGTAGTTTATTGAATTAATATCAAGTTTAATTAATATTGAATTAATGTCAAATTTTAATATTTGTTGAGGTTTATAATTAATTCAATGATTATAATAAAAAATGTCAACTAATTATCGGCTGCTACGGCTTGGACGGACTGTGGATGAAAAACGTGGACTTATCAGCTGCCGACCCATGATGGTCATATGGACCCCAGGTGGAGTCCGGTGGANTAATTATCGGCTGCTACGGCTTGGACGGACTGTGGATGAAAAACGTGGACTTATCAGCTGCCGACCCATGATGGTCATATGGACCCCAGGTCGAGTCCGGTGGATTTGGTCAGCCGGCTGTTGTGTATTGCATGTGTTTTGGTCATATCCACGTTTCCTGCGCCTCTAAACACTTTTGTTACTCTGGTGAAGTAGTCGTAATTGAACAATTAAATAAGTCAATTTCTCTTCTCAATCTAAATTATATCCTAGGTTAGCCTTAAGTCTCTCAACCGTGTTGGGTATCAATGAGTTTGTGTAAAAAATATTTTATTTATATTAAATTTGTATATTAATTTATATCTAATATATTGTATTATATTAAATTCGTATCGTATATATTTTTTGATTGATTTCACACATGTTCGATTTGTTTATTAATTATGTTGTGTTAAGTTTGTTCATTTATGAATCTGATGGTTTAAGAAAAATCTAAACTTTCTAAATTCGTGTCGTGTCATGTTATATTTTTGACACCTTTACACAAATAATTTATTTTTGATTTTTTTTTGGCATAAGAGAAGATAAGTGTAACGCCCCAAAATTCACCCTGAAAGACATTACTATCTATAACCATTCATACCATGAGCAATTAATAAAATCCATAATTAAACAAAATTTCATTCGTCATCTTAACAACTAAAACATCATCCAAAATCAGTATGCTAAACTATGATAATTACATTCAAAAACTAAATATTATTTTGCAGCGGAATAAATAAAATATTATCTTTAATATTGTCTCATAATTAACCTCCCAGTCTAGAACATAAAGGAAACAACTTTAAACATTCATCTCAGGATTCATGTTCCCATCAATTTAAGCTTTCCAATGTACTTGCTCATCAAATTCGAGCTGTTTCTCTAAACCATAATCTGAAAAAAGATGTTATTTGTAGGGAGCGAGAACTAAGCTCTGTAGGAAAATCCTCCCATGCTCAAACAAAGCTTTGAAAACATATAAAACAGATCTGTCTTATTTTACAAAATATCATTTATAATTTTGAAATAAAACAATGACAGTTCATCAGATATCAAGTTGTTCCAATAAGTGATAGTCATGGGTGATGGCGGTAGTGATAGTTGACGACAGTGCTTGTGGTTGACAGTGATGGTGGTGGAAAGTGATGATGGAGGTGGTGGGCGACGACGGATGCATCTGGACGATAATGTGATGAGTTGTGGTAAAAAGCGATGGCGGTGATGGTAAGTGTGATAAAGGTGACAGACAGTGGAAAACGATACGCGACAATGATTAGTGGTGATTGATGGTGATAAATTTGATTGGAGTGCGTGAAAGTGATACTAAAAAGTTATTGTCACAAATAACTCAAATGCGCTCACATTTTTTGGCTTATACTTTCCTTTAAAATTCCAAAGTTACGTGTCCTTTGAATCATTCCTCCATTTAGACGTGAATTTGGATCACTCACTCAAGATTTTTACAAGGCAATTATTATCGACCACAGGCCCTGTGGCAAGTTGTTCCAGTAAGTAGTACATGCGGGGCAAGCTCAATAGGAAATTTGAAACATTCATACATTTTTTGTTTGTACAACGAGAAGATAAAGATAGATTCATTCGTCTTTGATCAGGTGTCTGTCAATTTTGTTGTGCTCAATTCGGATTAATTTATTTTTTTACCTTTTAAAAGGGAGGTATAAAAACACACAATACGACATTTTTTTAACAAACTACACTTCATCCCAAACATTGGTATGCATTATTTTTGGGTCTTTCGAAGGCCGATACACTTAATTAGACTTCTTATTATTTAAGTCCATCAAACAAGCTGTTTTGAAAAGAAGTCCATTACTAAGGGGGAAAAAAACTACACTACCCTTCAAAACAATACCCCAGTTGCCTTACAAGATTAAAAAACTCATAATCTCTACTTCGAGCATATCTCCGGTAAACATGGAATGAAATTGTAAGATGGAAGAAACATGTTTTCAGGCTTTGAAAAACAAAATTGAAACAAACAAAAGAAGAAAGGATTAACGCTCCTAAATCCACCCTGAAATATATCTATAACTATTTATTTCATGAGAGCAACTAATTAAATCTATAAATTAAAGAAATTATATTCGTTATCCATTATAACTAAAGCATCATCTAAAATTAATATTTCAAACCATGTCAATTACATCCAAATTGCTAAATGTTATCTTGTAACGGAATAAATAAAACATTATCCTTAACATTGCCTCGTAATTGACCTCCTAATCTAGAACATAATGGAAATATATCTAAATGTCTACCTTAGGATCCACATTCCCATTAATCTAAGCTTCCCAATTTACCTACTCATCCAATCCAAATTACTCCTCCAATTCGAAATCAGAAAAAGATGTGGTTTGTAGGGGATGAGCACTAAGTTCTTTAGGAAAATCCTTCCAAACTCGATCATGGTTTTGAAAATATATAAAACAGGTCGGTCTCATTTTACAAAATGTCATGTATAAAATTTGAAATAAAACAATGACAGTTCATTAGATATCAAGTTTACGTAGTAACAATAAGGTAATTGATGAAACAAAATAAACTTTCAAATAGCAAATTGTTACCAATATTGTATCTCAGGTATGTAGTAAGACTTAGACTTAGTATGAATACACACATTAAGAATATCATAGGCCACACACACCCCCAATCCTCGCAAAGATACACAACTTTAGGAAGGGCTTATACCGATGCGTCGACAGTGATGAATCCAACCCAAAAATAGTATACTAGCCCTCAACCTCGATACCC